GGACGGAAATGTCTTTCCCCTTGTGCACGTAGACGACCAGGTCACTATCATTGCAGGTGTGCGCGACATCAACGACAGTGAAAGCCAGGTTTCAGACATTTCAGACCTCGCTGACCCGTTTCACCTTGTGTTTGAAAAGTTGCCTTGCTCCTCAGTGGATGTGTGCGGTTGGCAATGCATGTGTGTCCTTGCCGCAGATTTTCGATTTGTTTAGCAGTCGTGCAAGCCCGTATTGCTGCTATGAACCCCCAGTATTTCGAGTACCAGATCGACAGAGGAGTGGAATGGATTCGAATTTACTCTCCGGGCATTTGGAGGCCCGTTCCGGAGGAAGCGCCAGTTCCGGACCCACTTTACGCTTCCACATTTCGGGAGTGGCGCAGATCATACCACTTCCAAGTGTACTGGTCTGAAGACAGCACCGGAGGCACCACAATGGATCCTATTGCCACGCCCAGTGCATATGTGTCCTATCACGTGTGGGAGTACCGAGACTGGCAAACGCGAGGGTACCAACGACTTGGGCCTCCTGTCCAATCCATCGGACTCGCGATGCTCGCCAACGCAGACATCGAGTCCTCGGTGGGCTCGTCGGTACCTGATGGAGCGTGGCGGGAACCGTCACCGCCACCATTCTATGATCCTTGGAATAATTCGGATTGACTCATGAGTTGCATGTTGGATAAAGATGAGGTTGTGCGTGCTTTGAATGTGAGTTCTCATTGGGTTGTCTTGCTTGGTGCTGTGCATGTTGTCTCCATGTGTCCGCCGCTCTCTGTGATTACTTTGAGCAGCTTGTCGGGTTGAAATGTTCAATAGTACGGTGCAGGGTGCAGCAGGATGGATCCTACCTCGCTATTTTGACTATGACATCGTCAATGGACCAGCAGGAACGAGTGTGGAATGGATTCGAATCTATGTGCCGGGTCAGTGGCATCCAGTAGCCCCTGACACCCTGGGACCGGCCCCGGATGACCCGACCGCCTATCGGGAATGGCGCAAGGTCTACCACTTCGAAGTGTACTGGCCCAGGGAAAGCACTGGCGGCACAACTATAGGCACGGCTCTGCAACCGGTACCCCACGCCACTTTCTACACTTGGTATTACAGGGACTGGGTCACCAGAGGGTACCAACGCCTGGGTCGTCCACATCCCAGCATAGCGAGGCCAGTTTTCGCTTCGGGTGCGCCGGACCTCATGTATGCTGGAATGACCTCCTCTTCGGCATCATCCAATTCACATGATAGCTGATGCCCGTCCTCGCCTCCCTGGAGAGTCTGACTGTGATGTTGGCGCCGCACAGTGCTACAAAAGTGGTCTTTTGCGTTTTGATTGTTGATTTGCTTTCACTCGTTGTTGTCTGCAGCCGTACACCTATCAACTTGACTTTCCGTGGTTGCGTTGTCATGCCGTGGCTGGAATGGTGCCCGGACCCTCAACAACCTGATGCCCAGTGGGTCAAGATCTTTCATCCGGGACCATGGACGCCTCAGGAAGAACAGGATGCTCCACCTCCTCCGCATACTTTCAGAGAATGGCGGGAGTTCTATGCTCCCAACCAGGACTCAGTTGAAGGGCAAGTCCAAGTCACTACGTGGTACAAGCGAGACTGGGCCACGGAGGGCTATCGGAGAATCGCTGCTCCTCACGCCGGTCATGAATTTGATTCCATGTATCCCTCCGATCACCATAACGTGGCCACGCAGTCTGCGTCGTTGAGTATGTCGCCGGAGCTGTTAGACGCGATTCTCAGGTCCTCGGATGCGGCTGATTTCTCCACTGAGGAACTGATTCGTCTCCAGGAGGGGATTTCTCAACAACTGACGGCCCGCGCACGTCTGACCTCTCATCCTCATCAACCAGTACGTGCATCGCGTGGCAACACACCATCGGAGACGATTGGGGTCTCCGACCCCTACACGCCCGTGAATCCGTCCGGTAGCGGCCAAGACAAGATGAGGCCCGTCTTCGAGCTCACTGAAGACTAGCCTTGCATGAGCAGCGCAGCGCACAAAATAAGGGTGACCTCTACACTTGCATGATCTTGCTTTGCTGTTGTTTGAACATGGTTGTGCATGGTGCTTGTCCACCTACTAGCTGGATCGGAGCCCGCGACCATCCTTGCCTCTTGCCTCGACATGGACATCGATGATTCCAAGCAGTATCCATGGCTCGAATATTCGGTCTGGCATGATCAGGAGTGGGTGCGGATTTACACTCCGGGACAACCTCAACGATGGCACCGTGGTGACGCCGTACCTGATCTACCTGAAAACTCTTTTCGTGAATGGCAGCGGGTGACGGATCCCGAAGCGCCAGTCCAGGCATGGGACATCCGTGACTGGCAACACCAAGGGTACCAGCGCATTCTGTCTCGGATTGAGTCCTTCGCAACTCACTGTTCACATGATCAGACTCTTGGTCAAGGTCGGAACTCCGATGCCGTTCAAGTTGAGGAGACCTTCACCTATGCCACTCCGTTTTCTCATGGTGATCGCCCGGCTGCTTCGCAGATCGCTTCAGTCCTC